ACGTCTAGATCTGAAAATTTATCGCTAGATATTGACTTAATGAGTCACCACCAATCTTTTTTGTTTAGGTACAATTGGGCACTTAAGGAATCTATCCTTTCAAGGAACACCTAAGCTTAAGGGTCCCTTAAAAAAATAGGTTTGGATCTATTAACTAAAATAGGGTTTGAGAGTTCGGTTATGAGTGAGGAAGGTTATAGTACCTTCACAACGTCCATCGAAAAATAATACCAGCTTAATTTCATGTTATCCAATAAGCCTTAAAAATTTTATCAAGTAATTAACTATTGAAAATTATTCTTAATTAACTCCAATACTTTTGACAAAAAATTAAGAAAAATCCCTTCACCTCAAGAGTATGCAAGAAACCTACTGTTTCACTTACAGAGACTCCATCATTTGATTATTTAACATTAAAATTTCAAGAAAGAAAAGGAAAATAAATAAAAATTCAACTTTAGGTATAAATCCTTTTCCTTTCAAAAAAAAAAACTCATTGCTTTTGTATAAGAAAAATTGATATTTTCAACTTTTCCTTAAAGCATTTGAAATTTTTATTTTAAGAAAAATTGATACTTTTAACTTTTCCCTAAAATGTTTTTCTTGACAATTTTTTTCAAAGAAAATTGGTACTTTCAACTTTTCTCCAAAATGTTTTTCTTAACAATTTTTTTTAAAGAAAAATTATTACTTTCAATTTTTTCTCAAAATGTATTTTTTTGAAAATTTTATTTTAGAAATTTTATTTTAAGGAAAATTGATACTTTCAACTTTTTCTCGAAAAATATTTTTTTGAAAATTTTATTTTTAAGAAAAATTGATACTTTCAACTTTTCATCAAAAATATTTTTTTGGGAATTTTATTTTAGGAAAATCATTGAAAAAAAAAAGAAAAAAAAAATAAAAATAAAAATAAAAAGATAAAAAATTAAGGAATACCAAATAATTCTAATTTAGAAATAATAATAATAATAATAAATAAATAAATAAACTTTGAAACGTTTCGGCTCGGTTTGAGAGATAGAAACAGCTCAAAGGTGTGGCTCGACGGGAAATGGTTCTGCTTGGCTCGGCTGGAGCCCAGACAGAGATGTGGGTCGCTGGTTTGGGTCACGCTACGAGTCGGGTCGAATCTTAGCAAAATGTGCGGATCCTGGGTTTGTTAATACCATAAAATGACGTCATTTTATGGTACTACAAAAGGCTAATTTCAGCCTTTTCTAGTAGAATCCTCTTCTTCCCTCTCTCTACTGCTCATTTTCTCTCCCTCTCTCTTTACCTCTTCAAGAACACCAGTCGAGCTTTAACCGAATTCTGAAAATTCTTGCCAGAATTTGGGTTATTTGTTGGAAGTTCGCTGAAAAGTTAATCGATTTCTGAAAAGCTATCCCAGAAACTAGGTAACTAGTCGAAAAATTCAATCGGTGCGCAAAAGTTGCAAGAAAATTCAAATCTCACCAGAAAATTAAATCGGAATATGGAATTTTCAAAAAATTTCCAAAAAAAATCGTCAAAAAAAATCTCAAAATTCTTAAAATCACTCATAAACCTTCTAAACACCATTTTTTTTTTTGCTCTCTTTATGTGTCTTTTCTGTGTATTCCAACATCTATTTATAAGGATTGATCAGAAGAGTTTCTGATCAATCCCAACTCCTTCTGAAATTAAGATTCAGTCTTTGAATTCAATCCAAACCCTATCAATCCCAAGATTTATGGCAAAATGGTTTCTTTTAGAACAAAAATCATATATAAAAACAACAATACTTAAAACGAAATTTAGAATAGATAAACTAAATAATAATAATAATAATAATAATAATAATAATAATAATCATAATAATAAAATTAAAAATGAAATGAGCCCATCTTACATATTTTGATCAAACCCAATTGATCCGAACCTGAATCAAATTAAATTTCTACACTCCATACAACTAGAACCCTCCGGTAGGCTCCAAGAGTGGTTACGTGTCTACGGTTAGTCCTTTCTTGGTAAATTTGTTATGTATTCACATTATGTCACCTGATAGACCGTTATGCTATAATATGTAAAGTCTAATGGATTGCATTGAGTTCATATTATTGGTTAAATTTTATTCCAAGGGAAACTGCATTGTTGTTTTGTTGCAATTAACATCAGTCTTAAGTTTTTGCCGCTCATTGCAATTTTTAAGCTTTGTTGTTGGTTCTACTTTCGAGTTGGAATAGGAATTAATGGTAGAATAATTTGTATTAAATGGACTTTGACCATTAAAATATGATAAAAATATTAAAAAAAAAAGTCAGGAAGATCAGGAAAGGAAGAACTATTTTTTAAAAATTGGAATCAAGTCAAATGTTGATTTATGCTGTTTTGTCTAGAGGATATAAAAATATATATTTTAGTATTTATTTAATTATATATTTATTATATTAATAAAATTATTATTTAATATTTTTATTTAAAAATTAACTTAATATAAAATGCTACATGTATATATAATTCAGATATAATTTATATTAAAAATTAATGCTTTTTTAAATATTATACTCAATTAAAATAATTTAATTAATTTCAAATTGAGTTGAATTAAATAAAAATTATATATATATATATCTCGAATTGGAATGGAATATCTAAAATCATAACTCAATATCGAATCAAAATAAAATCAAATAAAATTACTAAAGATTAAAATCGATGTAGGAGCGAGTGTCACGGGTCGAGACTCAAGCTCCGAACTCGTACTGCTCCAAGACCCGGGCATTCACCCTTCCGACGTCCCGGATCAGCCTTCCGCCACGGTTCACACCTTTGTGAGGTATTGTCCGCTCTGGCCCCCCTGACCTCACGGTTTTGTCCTACAAAAGGCGCCTCACAAGGCGGAGATGGTGTGAACCCTTTTATACCCTAGTGACCCTCCTATTATGTTCGATGTAAGATTCAGGACTCCTCCTTAGGTTCGTGACATTTTCACGCACCCAACCTCGTGACGCCCTCGTCACGGAGGCTGGCCACCCTGCCTACATCCCTCGAGGTGCTTGACGTGGATCGAACGGTTTAGGGCTGGCTCTGATACCACTTGTCACAGGTCGAGACTCAAGCTCTGAACCCGTGCGGCTCCGGGACCCGGGCATTCACCCTTTCGGCATCCCGGATCAGCCTTCCGCCACGGTTCACACCTTTGTGAGGTATTATCCGCTCTGGCCCTCCTGGCCTCATGGTTTTGTCATACAAAAGGCGTCTCACAAGGCGGAGATGGTGTGAACCCTTTTATACCCCAGTGACCCTCCTATTATGTTCGATGTGGGATTCAGGACTCCCCCTTAGGTCCGTGACACGAGCATAATCCTGCCAACGATACAAGCTGTTTCCAATATGAAAGCATGTAGCTTACAATGTGTTTTAATTCAAAAGTATATTGTGAATAAAATAATATTTTAATTAAAAAATATTAGAAATTACATTAATTAAAATGGACAATATGAATTTTACATGATAAAATCTAATAAAAATTCAATTCTATCTTTCTTGCAAAGCTCATATGTCAAACTCCATTCCCGTAACAAAAAATCTAAACTATTTTAAAGGTTTTTTATTTTTAGTTATTTAATTATATAAATATTTTTATTTATTTTATAGTTTATAACTAAAAAATAATCTCCACTTAACACATTACAAACCTTTCTTGCAAAGCTTATATTTTAATATAAACATTTTTTGCAAAACCTAAATTTGAAACATCTTTCAACCAGTCAAGCAATTACTTAATAAATATCCAGTAACTTGTTTAGCCTGCTCAACAAATACTCAGTTGATTTTTTCATGAATCTTTCCCCAAATTCATACAAATCAACCAATTACTTTAAGTCATTTGTCAAACATTTAAATTTTGTTAGGTGTCAAACAAAAGGCCCTACAGAGACTCTTTAATATATAGGTAAATATCCAGCCTGTAATGTGTTTAGCCCGCTCAACAACTATTCAATTAGTCTTCTTAACTTTTTCATAAATCCACACAAACTAATTAGTTTCTTTAAGTCATTTGTCAAATATTAAATTTTATTAGCCGTCAACGATGGAGTCTTAATATCCAACTTGTAGCTTCTTTAGCCGTCTCAACATATATCCAATTGGCCTTTTTCCTTTTGAACTTTTTCCTGAATCCGCACAAATCAATTAATTATTTTAAGCCATTTGTCAAATATTTAATTTTTATTAGGTGTCAAATAAATAGTCTTAATATCCAACTTGCAGGTTTTTTAGCTGGCTCAACAAATACCAATTAACCTTTTTATTAACTTTTTCTTAAATCCATACAAACCAATTAAATTAATTATTTTAAATCATTTAACAATCATTTAAAATTTATTAGTTGAGAAAGAAAGAGCCCTGTTGGACTCTTTTAATATATAGGTATAGAAAATTTATATTATATAGCAAATGGTGATATGCAGGCTCGAAAATTTTAAAATCTGAATAAATTAAACAACAGCTTTTTGAAAGTTTCTAGAGAGAGAGAGATTATTGGCCTGCAATAGTCGGCTTTTTATGGGCTAAAATTTTGGAACAGTTGCTGCCCTACATGGGAAACCTTGAGAAAGGAGACAAAATATTTATATTTTTTTTGGCCAAAGGAGACGATATATTTTATGTTTGAATAATTTACTATTATTTGATCTGTAAAAACTTCTAACTTATTTTAATTTGGCCGTGTTTTTCTTGTTGAGTATAATTGATGATTAAAAAGCACCGGCGATTTTTTTTACTTGTAAATTAATTCCTGGAGGATGAATATAGAAAGCTTTATTGCATTGCTCTAAAGTCTACATTTATCATTGCACCTATATTTTGTGTTTCTGTTTACCAGGAGGAAGGGTGCCGCTCAACTTTAAGTGAAACCAGACTCCCGATTTCCTCCATCTTCTCTTTTACCCTTTTAATTTTGCTATATAAAGTAGTCTAACCCATTTTTCCTTTTCCGCCTGTCATTTTCATTGTCATTTGGCTTTTCTGATATGGATGAAAATTTGAGGAAGGCTGCTCAAGAAGGAAATGTTGATGAATTATATGCATCAATCCAAAGAGATTGTCATGTTTTGAGGCACATTGACGAGATGGAGTTTGTTGACACTCCATTACACGTAGCAGCTGCTGAAGGGTGCATTGATTTTGCAATGGAGATAATGACCTTAAAGCCCACATTTAGGAGTGAGTATATGGTTAATTCGGTCAGTTCGATTTGATAAAATCAATAATCGATATAATCAACTTTCATTTAACAAATAACCGAACCGATAAAATATTATTAAATAATCGATCATAATCGAACTGATTAAAATCGGTTCGGTTCAATCGGTTCGGTTAAATAACCGATTTTTTTTATCATTTTTTTTTCTATTATGAATAATTATTTAACCATAAATTCAATTCAATAAAATTCAAACTCTAGTATCATTCAAACTAAATTACTAAAGAATTTAATAATTTCAACAATATTTTACCAAAAAAAAAAATAAAAAGATTTATCTCAAATTTTTTATTTTTAATTATTAAAAAGTCGATTAATTCGGTCAGTACGGTTATCAATTTTAAAAATCGAAAACCGACCGAATTAATCAATTTAATCGATTTAAAAAATCGATTATAATTAAAACCGAATAAATCGAACTGATTCAACCGAATTCACTCGGTTTTGATCGGTCTAATCGGTTCAAACCGACTTTTGCTCACCCCTACCCACATTTGCTACGAAGCTAAACCAACAAGGCTTTAGTCCCGTTCATATTGCAATGGATAAGGGACATAAAGAGTTGGTTCTACTTCTCTTGGAAAATAATAAAGATCTTGTTCGTGTCAAAGGGAAGAAGGGTGAGACTCCATTGCACTATGCAATAACCAGAGAACACAACCTTGATCTCATAGCCAGATTTTTGGAAGTTTGTCCCGAATGCATCCTAGATGTGACAACTACAAACGAGACTGCTTTGCATATTGCAACGAGAAACAATGAGTTAAAAGCTCTCAAACTCCTATGCGGGATGCTTAGGAGGACTGACTATCGTGAGGATGTGGTTAATCCGAAAGACAGGAATGGCGACACTACCTTGCACATAGCAGCCCGCGATAATCGACATGAGGTTCTACCCATATGCTCTAATTAATTTTGCTTTTAGCAAAAGAAATAGATTCTTTTCAGATTGTATAATTTCAGCAAAATCTTTGATTAAACAGATGCTCAAACTGCTATTGCAATGCAAGGCTGACAAACATGCGACCAATCAAGCCGGTTCAACAGCTCTGGATATTGCACAACAACTTGATAACATAGAAAGCATTAGAATTCTACGCGGTTGCTTTATTCCCAGAGTTTCAACCCTCATATATAAATTGCATAAACAAATTTTCAAGTATGTGAAGAAGGCATCAGCTGTAATTTTTCAAGATATGGAAAATATATCAATTGAGGACCGCAATGCCTTACTAGTAATTCTAGGACTGCTTTTAACAGCAACCTACCAAGCCAGTCTTAGCCCACCTGGTTGTGTTTGGCAGGGAGACAATTCCTCAAACTCCACTACCAATCAAGGAGATGAAGAAAAAATACCAGGGAAATCAGTCATGAATGAAATTACTTTTCTTTCTTTCTACATTCCAACCTCTGCTGTCTTCATAGTAACGTTTTTCCTAACATTGGGTCTCCTTAAACCCTTTCCTCGTGGTTTCAGAACAGCTCTTCAGATACTCCTTGCATTTCTTGCTATATGCTTCTACAAATCAATCTCTTTCCTAGCGCCAACTCATTTAGCAACTTTAGTTATCGATCTATTTTCAGATACGGTTTTCGTTTTGATGATGTTTATGTGTTTTGCTCATCGGGTGTCAAAAATTTGTGTTATAATTCTAGGATGCTGGTTATTCCCTACAGCTTATCCGTTTGAAGGTTTGATGGGAAATTTAGTAGTAGGATGTTGGTTATTCATTTTTCTTTATGATGAATTCTGGAAAGGAACAGCTTCACTTGTAGGGTATTGTTTACTACTCGTTGGTTTGGGTGACAGAAGATGGATCGTGCAACCTACTTTTATGCTAGGATGCTGGTTATTGCTTAGTCTGTGTCGATTCTGCATAAAGCGGTGCAATAAGTATTGTAATACCTGAATGGTCAAACAATGTACCATGTCCATGTCGCCTACACATGGATTTTGGATGCATAACCAATGTTGAAGAATGGTCACTGCAATTTATTTTGGTACAGCAACAACTATGGCTCGAATGTAAGATCCTTTATTGCCACTTGATCAGTCCAAGAGCCAATGAAACTTGTTTCATAATTCCAGAGTTTTTTTTTTTTTTTTTTTAAGATCTTTTGATGTTTGATAATTATTTTAAATTTTGATTAATTTAAAATAGGATTAGATATTATAAAAGAGACAAATTTTTTTAATATTTATTTTTTTTATTTACAAGATTTAAAATTTAAATCTTATTTTAAAAAATTAAAATCTTTAATCACCCAAATCACAGACGTTATTTATTTCTTAAATTGTTTCATGTGCAGGGTATTGATATATCAATTTTTTTCTTTTTGTTTAATTTGTTATTTTTTATGTGACTTTATTTCTTTCATGTTGAATTTTTTCTAAAGTTTTATTTATCTTTTTATTTAAAATTATTAGAAGTTGATCTTCATAGTTGAAATTAAAAATGTAATGTTTTGTTAATATATAAAACATAAAATTTTTTTATAATATAAATATAAACATTTAATTTTATTCATATCAATAATGTTAATAAATTTTTTGTTCGAATCCAATTTCTTAATTAAAGTCATTTAAATTTCGTAGCCGTCCAATCAGTAAGGCTGTTAGAAACTAGTTTTTTTTTTTCTTTCTGAATAAAGAAAGAAAAGTAAAAAATTTTTCAACCATGGTAGCTGAAACCAGCTGCCTACAACCTACCAAAATCTGGAATTATCAAAAAGCGGAGATTCGAATCCCTAAAAATCTAACATTTTCTCTCCGATCAGCTCTGAAAAGAGTGCCAATTGCGAAAGGAAGGGGGAGGCCAATTCCTCTTTCTTGGGAAAAATCTCAGCGAAAATCCCTGCACTCGTTTTTGGGTTTTGTTTTTGGCCAGCCAAAGTTTGAGAGAGAGTAATGAGAGAGGGAGGTTTTAGAGAGAGATTTGAGAAGTGAGAGAAAAAGATTTTGTCTTTTATACTTGAAACAAAAATGTTAGGATCTCTCCGTGGAACCGGAGTCCGCTCAAGATCCGTGCGTCTGATCTAGTGCCCTAACTATTGCAAACTGGTCCAACCAAACTATTCTTGAAACCATCTGAATCACCTTGAATCGCTTTTGAACCGCTCCAAACCGTGTTGAACCGTATCAAAATAATTGAACCGGCCTGAACTGGATTGTGAAATCATTGACTGGGTTGACCAAAGGTAATTTCAGTATTTTCTTCATATTTTTCATTTTTACTCAATTTTCTAACATATGTTTATTTTTTTTATTTCTATTTTTGTGATTTTTTATTTTATTTTGAGTGAACTTTGATATGGAAAACAAAATAGTTGTAAAAAATATTTAGAAAAAATTTGTGTGAAAATAATTTTTCGAAGATATTTATAAAAATAAATTAAGAAAAATTTTGAAATATAAATTTTTTCTTACAATAAAATTTAAAAATATTTTTAAAAAATTAAAATATCAATTTTTCCTATATTCTTTGAAACAAGTCCATTCGTTCTTAATAATCACAAGTGAAATATTTCTTGAATGTCACCTAATTGTGGGAATAATTCAAAAAATTATTTTTGTTAAGAATAAAGATTTTACAAATAATAAATGAATAAAAATGATGAATCATTTGAATAAATTTTTGGAAATATAATTTTAAAAAAAGTTGAAATAGTTCAATTTTCCTTAATTATTATAACTAAAAATATTTTTGAATTTAAGCAAAGAGTTGGGGTAATCTAAAAATTATTTTTCTACACAAATATTTGTAGACACCTCAATCTGTCTAGGGTTTTACTTGATTTAATTTTGTTAACAAAAAAATAAAAAATGGACAAATAGAAAAAGCGAAAAAATAGGTGTTAAGTTTGTGTGAAATTGTATGAAAAGTTTAAGTTGAATTAAAATTTGAAGTTAAAACTAAAAAAGGATTGAAATATTTTTTGGTTTAGGGTTCTCGGATTTAAAACTTTATAAATACATACCCACACAATTAAAAAGAACACATAGAGAAATCAGAGCTAGTATGGACATAGATAAAAGAGGAACACATAGAGCAGAATATAGAGATCAAAATAAAGTCACATACAAAAGTAGTTAGAAATTTGTAAGAAAATTTTTTTAGAAAAAAATAAGTTTTTTTTTGGAAAATTTTTGAAAAATTTTCAGATTCTGATGAAATTTTTTGTTGTTGTTTCAATTTTTCGGGAATTTTTCAACGAGATCCCTAAATTTTGATGAAGTTTCCAGTTTTCAACATCTATTTTTCAAAAATCAATGAACTTCTGTTAGATTCCAACGAACCAACTCAGATTTCGACAAAAATCTTAGAATCTAGTGAAGATTCAACCAGTGTTCTTAAGGATTCTAGAGAGAAAATGAGAAAAAAAAGAGAAGAAGAGAGAAAGGGGAGAAAAAATTTTAAGAAGGAAGGACTAGATTTGGTTTTTTATATCGGTCTTAAAACGATGTCGTTTTCGCCTTAATAAACTCTATAGGATTCATGTGTTTTTATTCGGGCAACTCGATCCAAGCGTAATCTGCTTCTATCGACTTGCATTCTAATAGGTTCCTGTAATTGAGCCAAGCCGAGCCGAGCTTCTGAGTCAAGTCACTAAGTCATTTTCTGTGCTTAGAGACAAGCCATGTTGAGCCATTCCAGTCGAGTCATTTTCATTTTTTGGTTTTATTTTATTTTATTTTATTTATTTATGTGTTTATTTATTTTTATGGGTATTTTAGCATGTTAAGTTTAGGAAAAATAATAAAAAAAATTTTAGAATTAAATATTAATTACCAATGATGGAAGTTTTAGAAATTTTAAATGGTAAATTTCTATAAATTTCTTAAGTGAGAAATTTTTTTTCTAAATTTATTCCAAATGGTGGAATAATTTATATAAAATTTTAATAACAATAATTAGTATTTATTTTCAAACAAAAAAATAAAAAATAAAAATTTTTGATTGAAAATATTTGACAGTTATCCAATGATGAGATTCTTAGAAATTTCAAATGATAAATTTCTAAGAAATCTTGAAGTGAGAAATCCTTTTAAATTTGTCACAAATAATGGAAGAATTTAAATGAAATTTTAAGAAAATAATTGTCATATTATTTTCCTTCCAACAATTATTTTCTTTCCAAAGATATAAATTTTTTTTTAAATTGACCCAAATGGCAAAAAATTTAAAAATAAAAAAATAAAAAAAATCTAAATAGACCCAAATGGAGAAAAATTTAGAAATTAAAAAGAAAAGATATTTTTAATTTGGCTCAAATGGTAGAATAATTAGATATATTTTTAATAAAAATAAAAAATAAAGAATAAAAAATAATTAAACATTTTTTCAAAGACAACATTTCCAAGAAAACAAATAGGATTTTTGAATACTCTTGAGGTAAAAAAATATTGTTAAGAATTCTGTCAGATTGATGGAGTCTTAAAATTATTTTTAATATTTGAACATAAAGTTTAAGACTATTAGAATCAATACTTTAGGATAAATTTAAAACAAAATGGTATCATTCTTTCGATGGGCATGTGGGGGTGTTATAACTTTTTTCATATATAATCAAACTCTTAACCCTGTTATGGTTAGTAGACTTGAACCTATTCTTTTAGGGACCGTTAGTCAAGCTTAAGAGCTCCTTAAAAGAGTAGATTCCTTAGGTAACCAATCACACCTAGTTAAAAAAGATTGGTGGTGACTCCATTTGTTAAGTTTAGCTATAGATTTTTTTATCTATGTGTTATGGTAATTTGACAACTCTACTGGGGTCACCATAGAGAGTTAGGCCATAACAATTTTAAATTTATTCTATCGTTTGATCTAATGGTTTTAAATTGTAATTATTTGTTTACTAATGTTTTTCTTTTTTTGTCTCTCATTTGATTTATCGAGTTGACAATTATATTTTCCTTCACACACACTATCACAGGCATTTACATTACATGAGATTTATACTCGAGCTCCGTCCCTCTTAGGAGAGAGTAAAATACCTATGCTCTTGTGAGATGATAATTTTCACAATGGCTAGCAAAATACTCCTACTCAAATAGAATCTTTTCCGTTAGTAGCCTATGATGGGTGAGGATTGGAATGCCTAACTAATTTGTGATGGATAACAATATAAGGAACAATTTGGAAACCTTTAGTAATCAAAGTAGCCTAACTTTGCATATAATCTACACTTAAGAGGCCAGCCTTAAGATAGAGCCATTTTTACCTAGTGATAGATATACCCCGAAATTAGGACACAAGAAAGAACAATTTGTGTGATATATTACCTATCTAACCATTTTGTTTGTTTGACTTTGTGCATTTGCATTATCATTCTATGCATCATTTTAATGGTCATGTTTAACATTGTCATTTGCATCATTCTCATATAAGAAATATTTGCCACATATCAATTATTGATAAATCAGATCTCACACCTGCTTTCATAAAAAGCCAAATGCAATCAAAGTCTACATTAGTCCATTATGAATCTACTCATCAATTGAAAATCAAGTCAGAAGAAGGGTAAAAAAAATACGATAATTGCTAGACTGAAGGTTTTATCTCATCATTATCTGAGAGAGTTCATCTTGATCTCTAACAAAATGACCTAGTTGATCTAAGCAAAGTTTGAGGATGCATGAGTAGAACAAAGAAGGAGGCATTTGAGAATAAATATGGAAACGTAGCTTCATTACTTCAAGTGGATGTGGACAATAATTTGATTAAAGCCAAACTTCAATTTTAGGATCCTTCTTATAGGTGTTTCGTCTTTAACAAAGTAGATATGGTATCCACAATTAAAAAGTTCATAGTCCTACTCCGTTTTAATTTACCAAACTTAAACAAGATTTATTAGTCAAATAAGGTGGGTTATTGTAAAAAGCCAGTGCAAATGCTTGGACTTAGCTTGT